CTGTCTGGAGTGAGGGCGCTGTAGAAGTTCCCTACTGTGAAAGCATCGCTGAAGCCATGATGGGGACACTTCCAGAAGTATCCCATGTACCGCTCCCATGCATCACGAAGGGACTCATCTGGCTCTTGGCGGAAGTGAGTGATCTCCCGCTGTATCTCAGTAGTCTTCGATGCCGGATAATATCTGTGCACGAACTTATCCGCCAGGTCGTCCCAAGAAGTGATGGACAGTGGGGGCTGGGTCTCCAACCATCTCTTAGCATTCCCCGCCTGAGAATAGGGGAAAAGGTGAAGGCGGATTGCATCATCCGGAACACCATTCAGCTTGAACCCGTTCGTCAGCTGCAGAAAACGGAAAAGGTGTGCCCGGGCTTCCTCATCCTTCAAACCATGGAACTGGATAGATGATGTGATGAGCTGAATCCAGCATGGCTTGATCTCGAAGTTGTTTGCAGGAATGGGCGGATAGAGGATGACCGGGCGGATGTCAGCAATCCGTGGAGTATAGTAGTACTCCAAGGTGGGACCCGGTGGTGGTGGATGATGATGGCCAGCTCCCTGGGGGTTTGGGTCGTTCCCCAGGATCTGGTTCTGAGGAGGCGGGTTCTGATCGCCTTCCATCTCGTGCTCGTCCTCGGAGTCGCTGGTCAATTGGCCGTCTCGGCGCTCCACCGTAGCCAGTCTAGCTTGCTGTTGTCTCCGAAGTTGTTTGCAGGTGCACTCAATCTCAGGGTTCAACGGCAGTAAACCTCCCGACTGGCTACGGGTCATGCACTATCTGCACACAATCAAGCAATGTAAACCCCGTGAAGGCACAAGTGGGAAAAACAAAAACTCAATGCAAAAAATGAAAATGCTAAAGTAACAGAAATCACTTTTCTTCAACAACCTAGCCGTCCCCGGCAACGGCGCCAAAAACTTGACTCGCTGTTACTGTCACTCTAGAAAATGGCCAAGTGCAACCACTTCCTAAAGCGTAATATAGCGGGTTTGGGTTTTAATGTCAACCCGGGTCCTAGATGTGATGACTACTCGGTGAATCCTTGTTATTTAGCGGTGAACTTTTAGTGCAACTCAAGCAAACAAAACAAAAGCAAGTAAACGGTTTGTTGTCAAGTCAAGAGAGGTCACCCGGATATGGTTCCCCCTAGTCTGCAGTTAAGCCGGATTGTAATTACCAAGTTCAGTTTTCATGAAAGTTATACTGCGGAAGGTTCTCAATTAGCCTGAAGTCTCGACTAAAGGTCTCCAGACCCTCTCAATCTGAGTCTCTAGCGGGCGACTAACCTCCACCGGAGTAAACGGATTGAGGCCCTAATGAACCAAACCTCCACTACCGAATTAACTTCGGTACAGAATAGCGAATTGGCTCCTCGGCTAAAGTCACCAATTCGCCACCTTCGATTAAGGGTACTCTATCAACCTAGGCAGATATTCTCATTCCAGGTCAAAGCAGAAACAACAGGAATTTGATCAGGATTCAAGTCATTCAATCATTCAAACCTCAATCGAATATAATCAATTCACAAACTCTGTACTTGGGTTTATACAATCAGACCTAGCATACAAATCTAGGGTTCCCCATACCCAGATGAATGGGGAAACTACTCCATAGAGGAAGAAGCAAAAGCAGATTCAGACGCGGAAATCATACTGTGAAGTTGGATTTCTGCTCCTGGACGTTTAATCGCACTTCTCCAAGCTCAAACCGGGCTCCAATGGTGTTGAAGATCGATCTATGGCGCTTGGGAACTCTGGTTCGTCGCTTTCTCTCTCTAGGTATCGCTTTCTCTCTCAAAAACTCCGAACCCTTTGAAAATTGGCCTTCTTTCTCTTTTATCAGCTGCCCTCGCGATACCCGGTCGAAATACCCGGTCGGGTGTTTCAGGGTTCGACCGGGTATTTCATAAAACGCGCCGTTCCACTTTGGGGAAAATCCCCGGTCCAACATCAAAATCCCTGACCGGGGATTTAAGGCCATCGCCCGGGCCCCCTTCTGCTTCTCACGGGTGCCGAAAACGATAAATACCCGGTCGGGTATTTTGCCATCCGACCGGGTATTTTCCTCCTGCAGCCCCCTTAGTCCCAACTCGGCTCCTTTCGACCCAGAACTCGTTTCTCCGCCTCGATTCCAACGCCGGGACCTGAAATATGACACAAACACACAACCTAGCGTAAAATCGGCTTAAAACACGAGATTCCTCAGCACAAACGGCTCCAGAATAGGGGTGAAAATATGTATAATTATTGGTCTATCAACTGCATAACAGATGAAGGGGATAATCCAAAATGCAAGGAAGGAAACCCATATAGGACCTCAAATGGTGTCATATGCAAACTGAGATGATAATGAGTATTGTAGCACCACTCTGCCAATGTCAGCCACTATGTCCAGTCCTGTGATAAGTCATACAACGGAGATATTCCTCCAAACAACGATTCACCCGTTCTGTTTGACCATCAGTTTGGGGGTGATATGCAGTGGAGTAATGAATATTTGTGTGCTGCAATCTGAAGAACTCCGTCCAAAACTGACTAGTGAAGGTGGCATCCCTATCACAAACGATGGTGGAGGGCATACCATGATACTTGAACACACCGTCAAAGAAAACATTGCTACTTCTGCTGCCGAGTATGGATGTTTTAGACTGAAAAAGTGAGCAACTTTAGTGAACTGATTTACTACCACCAGAATAACCTGCTTACCCCTGGTGACAGATAAGCCTTCAACGAAATCCATACATATATCACGCCAGGCTTGAGTGGGGATAGGTAGGGGCTGAAGCAAACCTAGTAAGGCCAATGTTTCCGATTTACAACACTGACACACATCGGGATGAGAGGTCCAGGATACCACTATCGATTTCATTCCCTTCCAGTAGAAATGGGCCTTGACTCTTTGGTAAGTAACATGCACCCCTAAATGGCCTCCAACAGGCGAGTGAAACAAATGAATCAACTTGAAATGCATTGAACCCGAGATTCCAACTACTATAGCACCTTTTATAACAAAGAATGCCCGAAGAGAAGGACCAAAGAGAGGGTTCAGTAGAATTAACAGCAACGGTAGCTATCAAGTCTGCTACCTCATTATCCCCAGCATAAGTTTCTTCAATCTCAAGCAACCAATCAGGTAAAACGGTGGTGAGTGCACTACAACAGCCTTCGACCCTGTCTTCCTCAAAGGTCCTTGACAAAGCATCAGTTGCCCCGTTGAACCTTCCCTTTCTGTATTTTATTTGGAAATCCAAACCCATAAGTTTCACCAGCCCTTTCTTTTGAATAGCTGAGTGAACATTCTGCCTCAAAAGATACTTCATGCTTTCGTGGTCTATAACGATGGTAAACGGTCGTCGCTCTAGATAGTGGGGCCAATGATCGACGTCCAGGAGGACTGCCAAATACTCCTTTTCGTACGTACTCAATCCCTGGTTTCGCATACTCAAGGACTTGTTGAAATAGGCGAGAGGGCGACCTGCCTGGGACAATACAACACCCACACCAGTCCCACAAGCAACAGTTTCGAATGTAAAAGGAAGAGAATAGTTGGGTAAAGCCAAGACAGGAGTAGAACACATAGCCTGCTGAAGTTCAACAAAAGCAGCTTCGACCGCAGAACCCCACTGAAATCCATTTTTCTTCAAATCAGTCAATGGTGTGCTTATGGTACCATAGTTACGGATGAATTTCCTGTAATAGCCTTTTAAGCCCAAAAAACCTCGTAGTTGTTTAACATTCAGTGGTCTTGGCCAAGTCTTCACTACTGAGATTTTGCTCAGATCAGTCGCCACACCGTCCTTGCTGATAATATGCCCCAGGTATCCGACCTTTGGCTGGCCAAAAGCACATTTAGATTCCTTGGCAAACAGTTGATTATCGCGTAGAAGCTGTATCGCAATACTCAAACGGTGCAAATGGGATTCCTCTGTTCTGCTGTAAACCAAATATATCATTAAAAAAAACAAGGATAAATTTCCTCAAGTACTTGCCGAATACGTGGTTCATGAGAGCCTGGAAGGTTGCTGGAGCGTTAGTGAGGCCAAACGGCATCACCCGGAATTCATGGTGACCCTTATGCGTCCTGAAAGCTATTTTGTATTGATGATCCGGATGCATCCTAATTTGATGATAACCTGCCCTTAAGTCCAATTTAGAAAATATAACCGACCCATTTAATTCATACAGCAGATCTTCTATATGGGATATGGGAAAATTATCTTTAATAGCGGCTGCATTTACCTCCCTGTAATCTACACAAATCTCCAAGTCCCATCCTGTAACACCCCGATAATTTAGATATAGGTTCGACCTTAATACGTCATGGGTTGGATTGACGTTTACGTACTAAGAGTTACAATCGCGGATTAAGAATAATAATATTATTATATTATTATTATTATATATATATATATATATATATATATATATATATATATATGGTTTAGGCTAGCGTACGCCCGGGCGTACGTTAGACTACCGTACGCCCGTTTGAGTTTTGCTATTTAGATCATGAATTAACCGGAGTTTTGGGCATGATACTATACCCTAACGACTAATGGATAAACCCCAGTCCCTAGTTTTCTAACCCAAATCATGAGATTCGTTTAATCTTGAAATGAAAATCAACAATAATTTTGACAAATCAGAACCGTTGATTTTCATTTCAAGATTAAATGAATATTATGATTTGGATTAGTGAATTGCGGACTAGGGTTTACCCATTAGGGGTTAGCGTATAATATCATACCCCAAACTCCGATTAATTCATTGTCTAAATAGCAAAACTCAACGGGCGTACGGTAAGCTAGGGTACGTCCGGGCGTACGTTAGCCTTTGCCATATATATATATATATATATATATATATATATATATATATATATATATATATATATATATATATATATATATATATATATATATATATATATATATATATACCTCGGGGCCGAGCGGCCCCAAAAACCCTTCCCCCATTATTTCCCCACGCCCCAGCAAAGAAACAAAACCCCAAATCCCAACTCGTCCCCAAATAACCACCTCCCTAAAATATTTCCGCCGCCAAATCAAAACCCCCATCCCCCCACTTTTTCCCCAGCGCCGCAGGCAGAGAAGAAGGAAGAAGAAGAAAAAAAAGAAGAAGGAAGGGAGCCGCCGCCTCCCTGTGCCCCGATCCCGATCTCGACTCCGACCCCATCCCTTTCGTTTTAGGTAAGGATCACGAACCCCTTCGCAATTTCTAAACTCGATTTATCGGTAGACTAATCCGAAGCTCGTATTTTTATTAGCGGTGACGTTGAGGGTTCGATCAACAAGGAAATCAACTTTCCGGGTCATCCAACCTAGTCCTAGGCACGTTCTAGAGGTAAGGGAACTTGATCCCTTTGAGTTAGATCGATCGATTTGGTGATTTTTCGTGAGGGTGCAATTCTAAGGTTTTAGCAACAGATGTTCAGGCTTTTACTGACAGAATTTGGGTGGTCACTAAAGCTGCTGGGAATTTCCAGAAACGTATTTTTGGATGTTTTAAATTGTTTCGAGCCTCTCTGAAGGTTTTTTTCTGGATCTAGAAATTTTATAAATTGAGAGATGTCTAGGAGATGATTTAAATTTAATTTAGAAATGTTTGAAGATGTATTTTTATTTTTGGAAATTGTTCGAATATTTGTTTTAATTAAATAAAAATCTTACCGAGGTGTTTTTAAGGGATTGATAATTTTCCAGGGTATAGAGGCTCATGATTGACATGGAAAAATTATTATCCGAATTTTTAAGAAGGTTCTAGTTAGGTGGAAAATTCGTCCACGATAAAAATAACTAAGAAAAATGGTCGTTTTTGAAAGGATTAATTCTAGAAAATGTTAATGGGGGTTAAAGGACCCTTGGAATGAGGTTCAAGGACTGGAAATTGAGGAGAGGATGTTTTAGTGATTCAAAAGGGGTTTTAAATCAAGAAAGGCCGTCTAAGAAAATGGATTCTTATTAATTGGTTTCCCCAAGATAATCCGGCTAAGGAGGGGTTTCTTCGAGGAAGGAATTGAGGAGTCATCTTTTCGAGGTGAGTGTAAAGGGGGTAAAATCTCTGTCGTAGGTCTTTTAGTTTCCGCTTCTCGTTCAAGTTATTATTTAGTTAATTTTTCTAGTATGCGCGATATGTGTGTGAGGCATCCCACCGCCTGTAAGGGTGGAGGCACGCGTTGTGCTATGTATGATTGTATGTGATGTTGTATGGATTGATGGTATGAAGAACCCTCGGGCGGTTGGGTCACTACTGGACGGCGAGACGTAACGCAGTAGTTGATGGGCATGGACTGGACGGCGAGACGTAACGCAGTGCCATTGCCGAGTTTGGATATGCAACCGGACGACGAGACGTAACGCGGTTGGCATAATAGGGTAGGGACACCGGACGGCGAGACGTAACGCGGTGGTCCCTTGTGTTGGTGTCTTTGGATTAAGAATATGAGTAAGGGAATTCTAAAGATAAGATAGGAGTAGAGATCTCTTATAGACTGTTTGATAGTAAAGTTTAGAGGATGAAAGTGAGAACGACTTTCGTCTAAGGAAGGCATTTCCCCTAATAATGTGTTTAGTAAGGATTTTGCCTAGGGCAAAGACCTTAGGAAGTAACGACGAGACTGACCCCTTCTCACTCACTAGGTGCAGAGAGGGGAAGAGAACGCATCCATCAAGAGGAGATTACCCGAGGAGAGCAGCCGCGGCTAACCTGAAGATGTCAACTGGATCTGGGTAACGAGATGGGACCTCCCATTATATTTGTCTTTAGTTTCATGTCTTAATGAGTATACTGGGAAACTCAAGGATTGTGTTTTATGTTTTTTTACTCTGGATTGAGGTCGCCAAAGTGTTTAGGGCATTTCAATTGAAAATCTTAAACATTGTGGTTGTTGATTTTTGATTTTGACTTGTAGACCGTTTTGGGTTGCTCCGGAGTAACTAGTTTGTGGTTTGAGTTGTGGTTTGGTTTTAAAAAGGATCAGGTCGTGTCACATCCTTTTTGCCAATAAGCAATACTGGAGAAGCATAGGGGCTGTGGCCAGGTTGCATAAACTTTGAACGAAGCATTTCAGCCACCAATTTCTCCGCAACGGCTTTCTGATGATGAGGAAAACGATAGGGAGGGATATTTATGGGCTTAGTTTCAGACAGAAGGGGAATGGTATGATCAAAACTTTGGGATAGAGGAAGGGAAGAAGGATCAGCAAACATATCTGAATAAGAGGCTAGTAGGGGTTTCAGGAATGGGGGAATGTGACTAGGAACTGATGTGGCATCAATGGTAAACACAACCCCTGTCAAATGAGTTGAAGGCTTCTTAAGAAGCTGCTAGAAGGTACGTCCACTAAGTATCTTAAACTGGTCCTCTTTAGAAAGACCCTGAAGACGCTGAGTGCCCCCTTTCCACTCAAATGATAGCTCCCTCCTCTTAAGGTCTATTTGAAACGGACTGATGGTTTCCAACCAATCCCAACCCAGAACTAAATCATGAGAAGGTAAATCCAGTGTACGAACATCAAACACGAAATTCCCCTACATTTGCCTACTAAATCCCCCTACAAACTGAATTGCTAAGCAGAGTATGGCCACTAGCTACTTTCACACGCATAGGAGCAATTCATTCAGTTTGGCAGTTCAATTCCTGAGCCCTAATCGAGGTCAAGAACGTATGAGAGCTGCCAGTATCAATTAGAACTGTTACCTCTTTAATTCCAGCAACAGCAGGTATAAGCAAGGAATTGCCCGAAAATCCAAACCCCATAGTTTGCAGAGAGACCTCAAGTTCAGCGTCTTGGAATTCATCATCACCTTCCTTCGTTTCACTTGGCAAAGAAGACTCCACCTGCATAACATGGAGTTGCTTCTTCTTCACACTGATATGTCCATGGAAGTACTTGTCCCCGCATTTATTCCAAAGGCCCTACCCGGGAGGACCAAGGGGCGATCCATGGAGTGATAAGAAGAATGCTGCTTGGGCGCCTTGACGGCAGCCGATGAACTAGAAACCGACCAACGATTAGAAGGAGCGCACGACTCTTTCGTTTACGAGCTTCAATGGCAGCCTCTACCAACCGAGCCTGGTAGAAAGCACACGCCAAGATAGGGGGATTAAGCACTTGTACCCGTGGTCGTATTTCATCATCCAGGCCTCCAAGGAAGCTGAGGATGAAGTAATGCTCGTTAAGCTCCGAGTTGAGACGAAGCATACGAGAGCTCAATTATTCAAAATCCTCCTGATACCGAGATACAAAGCTCGTCTAGCAAATGTTATTGAAGGCGGCGACCACATTCAGATACTCCTTATTGCCGAATCGATGAAGCAATTCGTTGACGAAGTGCCCCCAAATCAACGGAAAATGGCGGAAGGACCACCCCTCCAGGTATGAGCTCTGCCTTCCAGATAATACAAAACTAACTCCACCTTCTATTCTTCGGGAATAACATAGAGTTGAAAGAGCTTGTTGCACTTACTGACCCACACATGCGGATCGGAGCCGGAGAAGTAAGAAAATTTGAGGCGAGGATAGTGGTCAAGAATCATCGATCGACGCTGATGGGGACGGAAGTGAGGATGGTCGTCGAAGGGACATGCATCGCCGTGCGGTGGTGATCGAACCGGCGACTTCTCCCGCCCATGAGCGTTGGAAGCCGCCAGAGCGTCGATAGAATCCTTCGTCGAAGCCGCCAACACAGAAATAGCGTCCTTCGGATCCTGATGCTGAGTATCGATCTGCACATGTACCTCCGCCATCTGAGTTTCCAATTCCACAGGACACGAAGTATGCGTCGCCATTAAGAGGCTCTGGATACCACTTGTAAGGATCGTCGATGGAAGAATATGTCGAAGAGGGGAATTGGGAAAGAAGAAGGAAGCGGGAAATGAGAGGGTAGTGGAGATTTACTTTTATTTCTAGCAACTAATTGATAAAGTAATTCCATATCAGTTTGTTAATAAAAGTTGACTCATCATATACGACTTTCTCTCTCTCTCTATTTATACTTGTCTCGTTGTACACGTCACTCTGCCAGCTGTCTTCTGGTTGTTACAGACTGACGATGCTAGGGAGTACGGGACGGAAACGGAAGGGCTAATTGGATTGACGATGGGAGAAAAACAAGAAGAAAGGCACGAGAGGAAAAACTGGAGGTGAAGATCTGATTGGAGCGGAGAAAATGAAGAATGGAGGAAGATACATGGACTTTTTTTCGCGGATAATGAAATGAATTTTTTAATGAAAACCTATTCAAATATTTTAAATGCAATACGGTTATTGCCTTTCATTATTATATTAATATATTATTCATTTTATAATTAATTTTTTTTATCTCTGGTGAATATATATTAGTTAGGCTTAGGTCATACAGATGCAATTGAATTAGTAATTGTTCTCTTGGTAAAAAAACACTTAGGACTTGTTCTCCAAATTGAATTCTTAGTATGCGTTGTTGAATTTTTACAATAGTGAATTGGATGGATTTAAGTATGAATTATTATTTTGGCACAATGTTATATGCTATTATTTATATGTTAGATGAGTTTGATATAACTTATATTTATATATATAATAAAATGACATTTTCTATATATCCGAGTTAAAGCGAGATAAATCGGGTCCTAATGGTCAACCCGTTAACCCTTATCCCACTATCTCAACTGGGCCAACAGGTCAAACCGGGTTAACAAACACTACAAAACGTCTGTCATTAGAGACGAAAATTAGTGATGGCAGTTGAAATTCGTCACTGAAAATGACTTTTATGACAAAATTTTACCATCGTCGGTAATATTTCGTCACTAGCTTTTTATTTGTGACACATGCAACATATGATCGGTAAAGACAAGAATCCTCGTGATTAAATTATTATATATGACGAATTTTGTTTGGCGTTAGCAATGTTTCGTCAACTAGGTGTATATTTGTGACAAATGCCACATTATGTCGGGAAAATCAAGAATCTTCATCACCGAGGCCATTTTCTCAAGAGAGAAGTCTCTTGTCACCTCTAGCGACAAAACACCTAATACACGCATTCTTTCATTTATTCACGTAAATTTGAGATTAGTCACGCAACTTGGTGTTTATTCACGCATATTTGTTATTTATTCATGCCATTGTAAAATCAAATTTTAAACTTTGAAATATATCAAAATTGATGGCATTGTATAGATTATGATTAATGCAACACATTTTTACAAATTAATAGAGAATCCAAATTTAATTTCATAAAATATAGCCAATACAAATTATTAAGGGGAAATTGTATGATTTTACATTTACGTAAATAACTTACACTGTTACATGAATAAACACCAAATAACGTGAATGAGCAAAAAAAATACGTAAAAAAGTTGATCTTAGGTGTTCTGTCACCTGAGGTGATAACAAAACTTTTACTTTTATTTTTTTTTCGTTGGATAATCTTTTCCTTTTCTCAAAGGGAAAATTATCACAATCATTTTTTGTGACAAATAAAAATCTTGTCGTTAGCGAATTTGTGAGAATGGCCAATCCCCACTACTAAAGATCAATTCTCGTCACAAAGATCAATTTCTTATCATATTTGTTGATAAAAAAACTAATCAACGTTACTGCCGATAATAGAAAAGTACATAACAAAGATGATGCCAACAAAATTTATCCATATGTTATGTATTATTTTATTTAATAGTATGAAATATATAAAGATCCCAATTTTCTAATCTTGATATTATGTATTAATATTTGATGGTTTGAAATGGGTGGAGCGATTCATAAGTTTTTTTTATTAGTTTTTTTTATTAGGATTCATAAGTTTTTTGCAAAAAGAGTTATATTTCTTTCATGATAAATAGAATGCAAGGATCTGCAACGATATTCTAGCTGGCAAGTTTGTTATATATTCTTTTTTTTTATACAAGAAAATCTATAATTTTTATTTAGCTTGGTAAAGTGCCATTACAATCATTCATTAAAGAATGAAGGATAAAAATTGGGGGTCTCTCCATCTACATTTCAGACTCCTCCCACCTACACCTTAACCTTGCTATTTCGTGGGCAACAGAGTTGCCACCTTTCCCCAGAAATCTCCACTTCACCTCACCCATCTCCTTCCGTAGCTCCTTAATTTCGAACAAAATCACTCCCAATTCAGTTTCCATCTCCTCCTCCTTCTCGAGATTCTGGATTAAAGAAAGGCAATGGGATTCAATCAGAATCGCCTTCACCACATGTGTTTGAGCCAAACGAAGAGCCCATAGAAAAGTCGGGGCTTCATCAAGTTCATGTTCCCAGTCGACCCTTGTCCTCCTCACCGCCGACAAGATGAAGCGGCCATCCTCGTCCCTGAGCACCATTCCAAATCCAGTTCCCCTTTCTTTAATTTTGCTAGCGTCGACATTCAATTTCAGCTGCCCCTTGTCTGGTTTCTCCCATTTGGCTTCCTGCCTGGGCATCCGCATCTGGGTTCCCTTGAGAGCAGCTGCGGAATTCCTCCAGGTACGCATGCGATCTGGTGATTACTTCCCTCTAATCTAGCTTCTTGTTGTTGAACATATGATTAATGCGCTCTTTCCATAGAAACCATCGGGCCATCACTACCGCACATAAATCCTCATCCGAAACCTTCTCAATTAATTCACATAGGCACTCTTCACTTGATTTCTCCTCCCCTTCCATAAAGAACTTACCCAAAGCACTTAGCCTCCATATCCATCCCGCCCAGTCACAGTCTTTTAGAATATGTTCTTGCGTTTCCTGTAGCCCACAAAATGGGCATTTATCACTTTCATCACGTATCCTATTCATTAAATTCGCTCTTGTGGGCAAGATATTGCTACCCCAACGCCAAAGAAAAACTCTGACCTTTGGGGGTAGGTAGAGGTGCCACATACGCTTCCAATCCACAGGGATGTCTCGTTCCCCTTCATCTGCATTCCGTCTTTTCCTCCTCTCATGGTAACCTGATTTCACTGAATACTTGCCTACTTTGTCGCGACCCCAGACTTGGGTATCTGATTGGTACCTCGTGGGCAATGGTATCTTGACGATCCTTGCTCTGTCTTTAGGGTCGAAGTTAGATTGTAACACATTTCTTTTCCAACACCTTTCTGACTGATCAATTAAGTGTGAAACCTTTGCTTGTAATCTCAGAGAAGCCACCGGTGATTCGATCTTAAAGTTGGGGCTATTGGGTACCCATTTATCCCACCAAACTAGAACTTGATCCCCTGATCCTATTCTTCACTTTATACTTTGTATCTCATGAATCACTGTTACACCCAGCTCTTTACAAAAAGTAAAATGACTATTATGCCCTTAATGTAATTTGTCAAATTACACCGTAATATCGACGAGAACTAAAAATATGGACTATCTATACAAACGGTGTTGAGTTTGGACATAAAATGAGGAAGTTATGGATATTAACTGAGTTTCGGATTAAACTCACTCGATACCAACTAATTAGAAAATTCCAAGAATACTCCATGGGTTTGGCATAAAACTAACCCAAACCCTAACACTTGCTAGCGGAAATCATCCTCCTAAAAACCGCGGTGCCCTCTCCCATTGCAACCTAGCCTCTCCTCCCTGGGAACGGCAAGGCGACAGGCTCTCATGCCGGCCCCACAAGGGAGAGCTAATTGGCGGCAACTGAGGGAGCGACGGTAATTCCTAGCGTCTACTCCCTGACTGGCTAGCCTGCAGTAGCAATCTTCTCCCTACTAACTAGACCTGCTTGCTTCCCTACAAAGCAAGAAGCGGTCAAAAGCGGCGATTATTAATGGACAACTTGCATTCTCTACGGCAGAAAACCAAGCGGCGCACTCCCTCTGCCATCGGTGCGTGTTGTGTGGGACATGATTGTGTGGCCATCAATGGAGATCCCCCACCACTGCGTCAGGTGCCCGATAACGGACGACCTTCTCTCAGGTGCTCGCTTAGACCTGCCTGCTTCGGACAATGGACGTGTTTGGTTGATGGTGGAGGACCTTCTCTCTACTATGTCAGCTGCTTGCTTAGACGTGCCTGCTTCGGATAATGGACATAGGAGGATGTTTTGTGTAGCCAGATAAGGTTTTGCACAGGGGAGGCAGCATCCACGTATCAAATCAGGAGTGGTGGTTAGTTCGAGTAAGCCAACTTGAATAATCAGGCGAGTGTAAAGAGGGTAAATTCTACGCCTTACGGTTTTTCAAGTTTTTGCTTTGAGTATTTTGAAAGTATTGATTTACGTGCAACATTTGATTCATGTTTGATATTGCATGATTATGTTTGATGATATGTGCGATGGTTGAGCTATGATTTGAAGTGAATTTTGGATGACTTTATTTCTTACTTGAATCTTGATGTCTATGAGTTATTCTTAAAGTTTAAGAACAAGCCCTTTTTAAGAAGTACTTCGTCTTGAAAGAAGGTGGAACCGTTTTAAGAGTTTTTAGTCACTAGCACCAGTCCGTTGCCTTTTGAGACATTTTGAGATAGAGCAGCAGTTATGCTCTTGAGACTTTTAAGATGAGCAGCAGTTATGCTCTTGAGAATCGTGGTGAAGAGCCACCACGATAAGTTTAAGATGTTAGGGGGATGAATCGTTACGACTTCCCTAACTAAGTTTAAGTTTAAGGATAACCTGGATGGCTTCTCATACGTATGAGTTGGCAACCGGACTAGCTAGTGAGGGATCCCCGTGTCAGTCAAAAGTTTAAGTAAGGATTTGAGCTTTAAGAGAGGAGAGTAGCTTCAACTCCCTCAAAGTTTAAGAGTTAAAGATTTTAAGATTGGAAGTACAAACAACTTCCACCAGTTAAAGTTAAGTGTTTAAGTAAAGCCGTCAAGCATTAAAATTATTAAAACGTAAGGGCGTAGACTGACCCCATCTCACTCACCAGTTTGAAAAGCTAGAGGAGGAGCCAGAGGAGCAGTTAGTGAGCAGCTAGTTCGAGGGCCGGCAGCTAGAGGATGGCAGTATAAGCGTCACAGAGGATGCTTAATCAAGGTTTCAGTAGCAGCAACGACATAGACTACCTAGTTATTTACATTTATGATTATGAGTATAGACTGGAGATCATTTTGAGATTTTAAGTATTGAGTTGCCCATGTGTTAGGGCATTGCTTTGAACTACAAGTGCGTGTTTTCAGTAAATTTTATTTAGTAAAATTTTTCCCAGTTGCAATTTAAGATTTGAGTATTTTATCTATCAAGGGCATTTTAGTAAAAATAGTACCCGGCCGAGTTTGGGTGTTTAAATCACACCTTGGGGAATTAGGAAAACAGATATAGCATAAGTACTTTGTGCTTGAGCGATAGACTTGATCAAAACCTCCTTAGCCGCATTTGACAGAATTTTGCTTTTCCGCATCTTCACCTTCTTCCTTACTCTATCGATCAGTTGTGTGAATACCGCCTTCTTTGATCTACCATTGATCGTTGGAAGTCCCAGATACTTGTCATGAATCTGGACAGCCTTCATCCCCAATATAGTAGCCATGGATTCTCTGTCCTCCTCCTTCGCATTTCTGTTGAATAAGAGTTCTGATTTAGGGAGGTTAACCCTAGCGCCTCTTTCTCACCTTCATCCTTTCCTATTCCTCTCTTGCCAATTCAAATCTTCCGGCTGCTAAAGGTTTCTATTCTAACCCTGCTGCCATGCCTCTCTTTCTCCCTTCTCTTCTTGTCATGTTGTCCACGGCTACTCTCTCTCTCCTCTTTTTCGAGTGTCTAGGCTTGAAATCGCTCCGACCACCATCAAAGATAAAATTCGATTAGACAATCACTATCATCCATCTCAATCTAGAGATACTTGCTTAAAACCCCACCATCTCGCTTTCTCGTCAAGGAAAGGAACAAATATCACCTCATATTTGTTCCACGATGGAAATTTTACTTCAACAGACTTGTATGCATATGAGTGGATCTTAAGGTTTGTTTCAATGATTTAGCTTGTGATTTATATTTTGAGGCTTGGATCTGCGTGAGTTGTTAATGTAAGATCTACGTTTTAAAGGTTATGACCCTTATGCTTCATCTTCTAGGCTTATTACCGACCAAGCTACAACGGTGCTACAAAAAAAAAGCATGAGCGGTGTAGTTCTTGGTGGATCGGAGTCGGAAGGGTGAAATAGGTTTTGTGAGTAGATGGCGGAGTTAAAGACGACGTCCGCTTCTGAATAGATAGGAAATGAAATTCATTATGTTACTTCGGATGTAAATTTGCCCTTTTTCCTTGTATATTGTATGATTGTCTTGAATCTTGATTATTGAATAAAAATATATTGTGTTTGTTATTAAAATATTTGGTGCGATTGATTTAGATGAAAATATTAACATTAATATAAAAAATATATTCTTACCAAAATCTGGACAATAAATCCTATGGTCACAAATGACCATCTTTTTTTGTAGTGAACCTTGTTCAAGAGCCAGTTTGTGACTCTATTTCCATCCCAATATATATGAGTGATGCTCACTCACTAATTTTGGCCTAGCATTGGGTGAAAGAGGAGTCACATAAGGATGCACATGTTCATGTCTGTTATTAATGAGTTGAATTTCCAAATTGGAGTCGGATTCTATCTTAAGAGTTTGACAACCTCTGCTCCAGGTCAGCTCTAGGCCATAGAAGAATGCCCACAGCTCGGAAATGGTTGTTGTTGCTGACTCAATATTCGCCGCAAAGCCATCAATCCACCTCCCCGTAATGTCTCGAATACACCCTCCCGTTCGACACGACCCAAGTTACCACAAGAAAATCCATCAATATTAAGGGTGAAGAAATCTGGAGGTGGAGCTTTCCATCCAATATCTGCCACAACTCGCGTGGCCGGCTGATTCCTGCTACAAGGGAGGAGTGTCGGGGCATGCCAAGTCTTGTTCCAGAGAAGAGTCTAATAGTTAAGTTGTATTTGATTAAAGCATACTTCTCAAACACATTTAAATCCCTCAATTAAATATTTAAAGTACGAAATTGTTACCAATATTTCAATCACCTTGAAACCATCAATCAATGATGTAAGTTATATGCTAAATTTATGTGCACTCTCTTATTGTATTAGATATATTGCTCATAGGAAGACAATTTCATGCTAAAGTTGGGTGCTCCCTATCATATAATACTCATTGAATGACATATAAGCCGAATTAACTAATATGACTAGGAACTTTGAGGCGTCACTTGAGAAATACATATGGAATGTCTATGACAAGTAAAATATACTATTTGAGATCTTGTTTTATGACATGTTTTGTATAATTTTCACATATTTTTTTCTATAATGACTTGGAATTTCTTAATAAATTCTTCGAGGTGTGTTTAGTGGCTTCTATGAGTACTTTTATCCTTTTGATGGGCTTTGAGTAGTTTATATGTGTTCTCATACAAAATTATTTTAGTGGACACCTAGTAAGAGCTAGAGATATTAAGGTCCAGATGCTGGAAGTTAGAAACGAAGTTGGAGACTAAGTCTAGAAAATAACGCTCAATTGGTCTACCATAGCTCAAATTGGCATCTCGAATACCGACTCCAGAAGGAACAAATCAATCCCCATTTGCACGAATATTTCTTACTTGGAGGCTAAGCTAGATGTATTAGACAAATATGGCCAAAAGAATTTTCTTCATATCAAATCACTCAGAAAAGAGGCTTATATAGACCCTCTCGGCCACATTTGAGCATCAAGTCATACATGAGGTTACTCTAACGAAAGAACAACTCACTATTTACAGAAAGTAACCAGCATGCTCAAGGTAAGAATGGCGGCCAATATGGCGCCTAAGGTGCCATGTTTCCCTTTAGGACACCTATTTTAGGATCTTAGGTATATCGTCGCTTCCATTGATGTACTCCTTATATTCTGTCCCCATGAGTGCATAGTTCATTAATTGTGTAGGTTGGCGAACACTAGAAATCTCCATCGTCCACGTCCATGGCATCACATTTTCGCAATTTTTGGCATCTTTCCTCGTGACCAAGAGAGAACGGACATTGCCTTCCCATTGTCAGGCCCGAGTGAGGAACATGATGGTCTGATTCATTGCCTGAGCACCACATCCATCTTGCACTCCTCATCTCAACGATAGATGGGTTGCCCCACATGTCAGGTACAAAAGAGAGCCAAGATCTCGTGACTCGCTTAAAGGCACGCTATCTCCTCTCCATACAAGTCCATGAGGAGAAGAGGTGTTTGGGGGGCGGAAGGTAGTGAAAGATGATCATGACGCTAGAAATCTATCTAAACCCCAAACACACCCTCAAATGACACTCCAGACTGAGAGAAAATCCCTTCGACTGCTTAACCCAAACACTATGCCTGGTTGCCTCTCGCGTGAAAACCTCAATGTTGTCAAAATATTTTTCAAATTGCAGAACCTTTTGAAAAACTTTTTGGAGTCCAACATTTTAGAGGCTCACACACATGTCCTAACCTCCATAACAAACACTTTCACACAACTGAGAGAAAATCAAAGTAAAGCCACTCATTATCAAGAATTTTTGTAGACCACACTATTTCCTATAATTCACACAATCACAATCATCAAACAATTCAAAACACACTAAGTAAGATCATGCTTGAGACAATTGTGATTGGAACCCCTAAAGTTTAAATTCCAATCAATAATCTAGATTCCAAAACACATCTCAATGTATGCCATTCATCATTCATTCATGTACAAATTCTTGGAGCGCTCAAATTGTAAAAACAAATTAAATCATAAGGCTTCAAATCATACAAATCGGCCATTCACACTCATTAGTCACACGCAAAGAAAAATATACGTACACGCCCCATACACTAAAGCACGACATTGTCCTCAATGGAGGAAAGATGAGGGAAGAATAAAGTTATCGGGTTAGTTGTGAATAATGGTGGAGGGACAAGGAGGCTCGGTGAGATCCAAATGAGCAAGGCAACGGCCAAACATCACAAGCTCCCCAGAGGTTGTCTTATTTGAAAGGAAATGAAATGCAAACCGTACTGATTGGGTTGCCTCCTAATAAGCCCTTCTTTAACGTTGTGAGTTGAACGATGATTCTCAAGTCTCAGTCTATCCAAAAACCTCCTTGAAGTTGAGGTTATCTTCGATGATGTAGAGTAGCAAGTCATGAGCATTGAATGAGTCCATGATTGAGAGCTCGTGAACTTGAATAGTTTGGAGGCTCCACCTATGAGACCTCTTCTTCTTTTCTTCTTCTTCTCTCTTCTCCTTGACCCATACCATGTAGGACATCATGGATTGACCACCATCGCATCCACCAAGAGGGATCGATGATGGTTTGGCCTTGACTAGGCAAAGAAGCACAAACGGGTCCTTCTCGAGTAGGGAAAGTTATGAGAGTCTTTAACGAGACTCTCTTGATCATCCTCACCGTGGGACTTCTCCGGGTGAGTTCCTCTTGCTCCTCATAATCTTCTTTGGTCTCCCTTTACACTTCTGATTCTTGTTCTAATTGCAAGAGGCGATGGCGTGCACAAGAACGTGCAACATTCTCTTGTAGTGTCAAATCGGGTGGAGGGAGAGGTTGGAAGTACTTGTCGGAGCGCTTCTTACAAAGTTTTCATGGCTTGCCTCTTCAACTTAATCTCCTTCAAATGTTAAGGGTCGATTGTGATCAATTTGTGCACATGCTTGCTCAACAATCCCTCCTAGTCTATCCAAGTTTCGAATAATCTCCTCCCATGTCCGTAGAAAGGATGAGTCTGTAGGGTCGGCGATTGGAGGATCCACATTAGAGCTTCCTTCGCTGGTGCCCACGCAAATTGCTCCACCTTGAGCTCCAATTCTCTCTTTGGATCCAATTGTCGAGTGGCACATAATCTTGAGAAATTCCCATGAAAGCCTCCATGGCCATATCCAACTTGGATTTCACCTCGAGTCATGGAGGGAAATCTGCTTGGTATGGGGAAGCTTCTTGATACCCCATGAGTATGTTTGTTCTTCTTGGAAGGGAGGTTGATCATAGAACTCGGTTCGTTGGCTTCCACCCTTTTGATTGTTCCATAAACCTCTAGGGCAACCACGTTCTGGTGGAGGTGGATACCCCCCCCCCCACACACACACACACTTTGATAAAATCATAAGGATCCATGATTCAACTTACAAAAACAAAAACATAAAGAGGAAACCAAACAAACACAAACTACCCTCCAAGAGGAAGAGTGGGTCAACAAAACACAAAGGAAACACACACAAAAAAAAAAACAAAATGATTAAAGTAAAAACCCAAACCTTTTCCCAATAACCTAGAATTTCCTTGGCAACGGAGCCAAGAACTTTGCTCGACTCTAACAACAACTCCCAATCGAAGGTCAAGTATAACCAATGACCGAGTGTAGCATAGAGTAAGCAAGTAATGAAATTATCGAACCACAAGTCTCTAGATGTACCTTCATCGGCTCAAGTTTTGTTGTCTAGCCAAACAAGAACAGTGATAAAGACTAAACTACCTACACTAACATAACCATTACCCTAGTTAATTAGATGTTTGGGAGCTCTCTTAACTTGAATCCTCCTAGTACCATCAGTTGGATCGATTTTGCGTACTATCCTAGATTGGTTGAATTGACATATCAACCGTGGAGAATGCTTGACAAGGTTGGATTCCCGATTCGAGTGAATCCAAACCCACCTAATTGCACAACCCACAGTGGCGTACCAAACAACCCGCAGACAATTGGGGAGTTTACCGTCATTTCCCACAACTGGGCTAGACCCTCATGTCACTACCCAATATGCCACTATAGACTCTATTTCTTTCTCTTTAAATACCCATAGTGGAGGACTGAAGGTGCTCTATTCAACTTAGGGTGGATATACTATAAATCCTATATCATTAGGAGATCAATCGAATTCACTCCCTCAGAGATCAACTCGAAACGACATAGATTGAGGAGTGACCCTAATTGCCAAGAATATGTCATAAGAGGATTTTCTACCTCCTAGGTTAAATGCTCAATTGACATGAAGTGGTGTCAAGATTCATGCAATTCATAATAAACATCCATCATATAGATAGTAGGAGTAATCCAACATAGGATTGTCACATACATCAACATCTAAACCAAAATCTAGACCTAGGGTTCATCAACCTAACATAAGAGGTCTATTTCATAGAGACAAGAGAGATTGCAACAAGAAGCAAAAGATCTTTCCTCTTCTAGGCTTGATTCCTTGAGTCCAAGTTTGATCAATGCCTCCAATTAAGCTCCAAGATCACTCTAGATCTCTCACTTTCTCTCTCTAGAAATGCCTGTAAGGAAGAACACATAAATTCCCCTAAAAACCCAGCTTCAGCTCTCTTTCTTTCTCCCAAAGCTGCTTCGTTTATACTGCCCGAGTAAAAATTTCATGGGTCAAACATCACGACCGTGATCTCAATACCCAGGCCATCTTGACCAAAAATGTGTGTTTTGCGCTGAACTTCACGACTTCCTTGTAAAGATCATGGGCTGAGAACATGATCTCTACACTGCCTGCAAACACACGAAGTTGTTAGGAACCTTGCCGAGATCATTCCTTGCTTCCAATGTTCACGTCCTGTGGCCTTGATCTTCACCACCAGCCCGTGCTCCTTGACTCTTTTCACTTTTTAGCGCGTTTTGACATCCAATTGTCCTGAAACTCGTCTTCGACCTTTCCACATGTACTGGGATTTGAAATCTGACAAAAGAAGCACAACTTAGCATAAAACAAGTTGAGGAGCGACAATACCAAAGTCAAACACTCAAGATA